GTGTGTGTGTGTGTGTGTGTGTGTGTGTGTGTGTGTGTGTGTGTGTGTATATATTAACAGTTTGATAGTGCTTTAAGGACAGCAGAGATGATTTTGGTCATAATTGGTTTTACAATCAGTGCATAAACGCAAATAAGTGCTATACTGCAAGTATAATTGTTCCCTTTTCTTCTATTTGTGCGCGTGCGTGTGCGCGCGGATGGAAGAGAGAGAGAGAGAGAGAGAGAGAGAGAGAGAGAGAGAGAGAGAGAGAGAGAGAGAAGCTGGCCACTCAAGCTGTGCCTTTCAGCGCAAGAACCGGTGCGGAAACATTTTACGCGTGAAGGATGAAGCCTTCATTTCCGGTTAATCCGCGGTCCTTCTGCAGCTTCTTTTAAATACTTGTTCTCTTAATTAGTTTGTAAAATGTGGACAGTTCCGAGACCAAAATACAGAAGTGGTTTGAACGAGGAGAAGCTGACTGTGAACATTGGAGGAGTCAAAGTGGTGCTGTACGGAGATGATCTGAAGCGCTACCCGGACAGCAGACTGGCCGAGCTGGCCAACTGCTCCACTCAGAATGTGGAACTTMTATCTTCTCTCTGTGATGACTTTGATCCAGGCAGAAACGAGTTTTACTTCGACAGAGATCCTGACTCCTTCAAGTGCATCATTGATGTTTACTACTTTGATGAAATCCATATAAAAACYGGCATTTGTCCCATTTGTTTCATCAAGGAGATGGAGTTTTGGAAGATAGACCAAAGTGTTTTAGATGAATGCTGTAAAAGTTACCTGAGCGAGAAGGAGCAAGAGCTGCGAGAGATCGCCAACAAAGTAAAAGTTATTCTGGAGGACATGGATGTGGATCAGTGCATCACGCGCACGCAGCGGTGCCAGAGGTTCCTGTGGAAGCTGATGGAGAAGCCGGGCTCGTCGCTGCCGGCGCGCATCGTCGCCATCGCGTCCTTCCTGTCCATCCTGGTCTCCGCGGTGGTCATGTGTGTGAGCACCATCCCGGAGCTTCAGGTGACGGACGCGGAGGGCAAATTGGTGGAGCACCCGACCCTGGAGGCGATCGAGACCGCGTGCATGCTGTGGTTCACCGCCGAGTTCCTGCTGCGTCTCGCCTCGTCTCCGAACAAGCTGCGCTTTGTGCTCTCCATCATGAACATCATAGACTTCATGGCCATCATGCCTTTCTACGTGGTGCTGTCCCTCACTTACCTCGGCACCACGTCCATGATGGAGCTGGTGAACGTGCAGCAGGCTGTCCAGGCGCTGCGCATCATGCGCATCGCGCGTGTCTTTAAGCTGGCGCGCCACTCCTCCGGGCTGCAGACTCTGACCTACGCGCTGAAGAGGAGCCTCAAAGAGCTGGGTCTGCTCCTCATGTACATGGGTGTGGGCATCTTCGTGTTCTCCGCGCTGGCCTACACCATGGAGCAAAGCCACCCGGAGACGCTTTTCAGGAGCATCCCTCAGTCTTTCTGGTGGGCCATCATCACCATGACCACGGTGGGTTATGGAGACATCTACCCCAAAACCACGCTGGGCAAGTGCAACGCGGCCGTGAGCTTTCTCTGCGGGGTGATAGCCATCGCTCTGCCCATCCATCCAATCATCAATAACTTTGTTGTCTTTTACAACAAGCAGAAAGTGCTGGAAACTGCAGCCAAGCACGAAGTGGAGCTGATGGAGCTGAAGTCCGGCAGGCAGGCGCGCAGAAAAAGCGACGAATAAGAATTAAAAACAGAAATATCGCACACACAAACACACAAATAAGTCTTTTAATTCTGCTCAAAATGCTAAAAAAATATGTAAAAGGTTTTGAAAAGAAGAAATGAAACTTTCAGACACTTGAAAATTCGTTGGGACGCGCTGTTAATATTTTTATGGACCACCTGCTGTGCTGCTATTGTAGTTGATGAAGGTTGTCACAGAATAATAAAAATGTGTGCATGAAAAGTTGTGCATGTCAAGAGAGTGATTACATCAATTCAGATTAAAGTGAAACATTTTATTCATCTTGACAATGAAATCACCCACCCAGCTTTGACCGGCTTCTTTCTTCCGGGGTCAGTGGGGGTCACTGTGCTCAGCAGTCAGTGAGAGGGGTGTGGTACACCTTGGACAGGTCGCAAGTCCATCACAGGGCCACATGGGACGATAGGGATAATTTCGAGTAACCAGTTGTGTTTTTAGTCTGTGGGAGGAAACTGGAGTGCAGGGAGAAAACCCACACATGCACAGAGAGAACAAACTCTACCCAGAAATGTCTTGGGCTGGAATTCAATCTGGCAACCTTCTTGCTGGGAAGCAACAGCTACCAACTGAGCCACTGTGCCACCCTGATAAGGAATCAAATGTAATAAATATATATTTTGGAGAGAAAAAATGAAATTGAAAGTGTTCAGTTGGACAAAGTCTTAAGATGAAATGTGTGAAACATGTTTTCAATCAGGTTTCAGGAGATGTCAGAGAACTGCAATCAGCAGCTGAGTCACTCCCACTTAGATGACGATTGTGTTTGTGATGGGATTTCACAGGGTCAGAAAGTAAAAAAAAAGCTACAAATTTCACTGAAAAAAAAAGTATTGGTAATTTTAGAACCCAAAAATTAAATTTCATAACGAGGAAATCAGTTTGAATCAGCTGCTCTACACTGAGCAGCTTTCTGAATTCTCTGTATAAAGTTGTTTCTGTGTAACATTGGATAAAAATGTTACTTAAATAAATTTGCATGAAAATACCCAAGCTTAAAGGAACTCTAAAGATTTAATTTAAGTGAAAGTTACTTTTTAACAGCAGGAAGACGTTTCTCCTCTGTGGTGCACAAAAAACAAAAGCTCTTAAAAACTTGCAAATTTACATGTAACAGTTGTAAACATGTTCACACATATTTAAAAGACTTGGAGAGTAGTCATTGTCATTTCAGTGCACAACGCTCGTTTTGTCACATAACAGCTGCAGCCGATAGATGTTTAAAACAAGACAATATCATCAGAATTATCAAATAAACTGATTACTGCATCTTAAAAATACCTGTTTTTAAATAATTTTAACATTTATTCAGTTGCTGGTTCATTGATTGCTTCTAAARATATTCATTTTTTAAGTTTAATGGGTGGAAATGTCACTGTGGTATCATTTCAAAGCTCAAAACACAAAAATTAAAAACATGACATGGAGTAATAAACATTTTTTTTTGTTTTTATTTTCAGGAGGTTGTGTTTTAATTACTCCAGATCCTCACAAATGATTGATCAGGCAAAATGGTCACTTTTAACCTCTGATTCTCTAGGGTTACAAACAAGAAGAAGCTGTATAAAATGATGCCAATGAAATMTTTTTAGGCACATGTTCACACGTTAAATTTGCAATCTGTTAGAGGCTTCAAAAGTCGCTCCTCTTGCCAAAAATATTTATTTATTTCAATCAATCTAAGAGGCTGTTTGAACGATGTCACAGCAGGTTATCAATTTTTTCTTTCAGAAAACACTTTTAATAGTAAAAAAATGGCCAGACAAGCTTGATTGGTCATATTGCAACACAAAGACTGAGTCATGTAAAGCTTTAGATTAATGATTAGATGTTTGAAGAGTGCACATCTTTGTTTTTGTCTKCTCTTCTCGTCTTTCTGCAGAAGTTTCTGTGCTTTTCTGTGGATGWGATGCGCTTCAAGGCAGTGGTCTGTGAGAAACCCAACGTCCCCCAGCAGGAAAACACTTCAAAGTAAGGCTACATACGCCCACACACACACACACTGTGAAAACTGAATAAACACACTCCGCTCACTCCTTATCAGTGCTTCGCCCAGCCTCCACCTCCTCATCCTCTGATGATCTGTCAGCTTCACTGGCTGACAGACAGATCAGATGCTGCGAGAAGTGAAGCGGCCGTGTTGTCAGATTTTCTGAAATAGCCGTATCAAATGTCAGAGTCACATGTTTAAATGGATTTTTGCACTCTAAAACTAAGAGAAACAAATGTTTCATTGCTTAGTGATATTCAGGTACGAAACATTTATTGAGGTTTGAAGGAAGTTTGAGATATTTGAGCTAAAAATAGCGCTTCATTGTTCATCCTTCATGATGACTCAGCCCTGCTGAACACACACAGGTGGGGATTAAAAGTACCAAACTCTGCAAAGTCTGTTTATTTCAAACTTTCAGTTGTTTTATGCAACAAACCTGCCGATAAGGTGGTTTAAGTAGTCCCCCCMACATCAAATTCCAGAAGAAAACTAATTTTTTGTTTATTGTTCATGTTTTTTTATTTGAATTTTAAAAGCATAGAGCCTCTGTTTTTTTAATGTGGAGTTTAAGTCCTAGATTTATATTCACTTTCAAGTTAAATGTGTTCAGCATTAGTAAGTAAAGTAAGTAAGTAAAATTTTATTTATAAAGYGCCTTTCACAGAAATATATTCACAAGGTGCTGTACAATCATTAACAGTGTAAAAATGSTGGAAAGAATAAGATGAAACACACTGTAAATATGAAATGTTGGATTTACTTAACCATATTATGTGACCTGGTTGCACTTAACTGAGTTGAGTAAATTCAAAGCAATATACCAGTTTTTYAACCAAAGAACATGAGTATGTTGCTTTGAATTTACTCAACTCAGTTAAGTGGAACCAGGTCACATAACATGGTTAAGTAAATCCAACATTTCATTTTTAGAGTGCAGAAAACCAGAATTAAACGTAAACAACGAAAAATTGAAACATCAAATCAAGAACAAAATTCTAAAATTGTAAATCAAATTAGATAAGCAAATTCACTAAATTGCAGCGAAAAGCTTTTTAAATTGCATTTTTAAAACTTAAACTTTTAAGAAACGACAGAGTAAGTATTCCTGACAAGCATCTGACTCTGCTCCTTATCAGTGTTGTATAAAGTACCACAAACTGATACTTGAGTAAAAGTACAAGTATCTTATCATAAAAATACTTTGGTAAAAGTTAAAGTCTTCTCTAAAAATATTACTTGTCTTAAAGTATCTGGCATTTTTTTGTACTTAAGCATCACAAGTAAATTTCTGACACAAAATCTACTTAAGTATTAAAAGTAAAAGTACTGAGTAAAAGTGAGCAGTTAGATTTTCCAAAATGACATTTATTGGGAGGTGACTTCTCCAAAAAATATTTTTTCTAACGGCGTGCAGCTGTGATGGGTTGTGTGCAAGCTAATAGGCTGTCAGAATGGTATATATTTATACTTCTCATCCAACCACAATTAAATTCACTCTATCCAGGAGACGCAATTTATCAGGATAGTATTTTTTAAGTAATAACTTGGAATAAAATAGGAGTAACGACTTTCTACTTCTTACCTTTTTTAAAAAATGTAATGAGTAGAAAGTACAGAAAGCTGTGTAAAAATGTAGTGAGTAAAAGTAAAAAGTACACTGAAAAATAACTACTCAAGTAAAGTACAGATAACCTAAATTTCTACTTAAGTACAGTAACAAAGTATTTGTATTTAGTTACTTTACAACTCTGCTCCTAATGATAAATAAAATAAAACATTTAAAGTAAAAGTAAAAATATAGTATAAAGTRCAAGACAGTCAAACTTAAAATGTAAAATGAACAGCCTCTGGCTAATTTCAAATGATAAATGTCACAAAATCACTTTACTCATCACAGACCCTCCTCTGTGCTTTCRACCAGCAGAGCTCAGGAACACAGTGTGAAACTGTTAATTATTAAATGAAGATGATCCAGACACCAGCGACGTGAGCAGGACTATTATCTGYCAATTTATCTGAAAAACAACCTGATCTCACAGCAAGGCGCACAAACAAACTAAGTCTACTGATTAGCAAACTGACGAGGAAAAAATAAAGTTGGTGCTATTTTTGTGCTGATGGACACGGAAATAAATGCATCAAAATGCAGCGTTGTCACCATATTCATGACTGGACTGGAGCCTCGCATTCAACAGGAAAGAGGCTGGAGTCAGGTACACATGAAGAAATTAAGAATGCAAAAACAATATGACTGAAATATATATGTGGCAATGATGATATCAATATATTTTACCAGCTTTTAGTCCTGAAACACCAGACCAAACTTTAAAAGTCAAATCAAAGTTTTGTTTTTGCACGGGCTTCATGATGTCATCAGAACAAGTTTAATGAGAAAGCTTGCAGCAAAATCCCAAATTACATTCAATAACTGCAAARTATTTGACATTCAAGTCACTTTTATGGCTGTATTTTCACCCAGTCCCTCACAGATGGAGACTAACTTGTAGATTTGTGATGTTGCAGACTGAGTGAGTCAGACAACCTGCAGCTTTTAAACACTCTGGAGGTTTTCGTTCAGCCTCTGATGAAAAGCCTATAACTCTGAAAAAATGCTCTGCTGTCTATAAAAAGTAACTTTAGTGCTTGGAATATGTTTGTCAGGTATATGATCCTGTACTGCATAAAAACCACACCATCTAATTCTAGTTGTTAAGGTTTGGTTCTCCACTCAAAGMTATACAGAAATGACCACAGTCAAGAAGAAGGAGTTTTATAAGTCACACATCAGGAATCATGCATTGCTAAACACTTTTTTCCCAAATCTTTTTCATAACGTACATTTCTCTGCATGTTTTCTGGGTTTCATTTCCCAATACCTACATAAACACAATGAAACTGGTTTAAAAAATAAAAAGCAATATGTCCGCCAAAACACCTCCTAACACAAATCAGACTCATGACAAATTGGTGAGGCAGGTTTGTGTTTATTGTGCTCCCTTCCGTTGCTGTTACAAAAAAAAAAAAAAAAMAACATTATAACTTCAGATCAGTTCTTTCTGGAAGAAAAAAAAGCACACCTAATTTCCTTTGCCAGCGGTGGTCTCCTGTTGTCATGGCTCCTTGCAGGCTTTAAATAACAGTCTGGCACTCATTATTCTGCCTCAATGAAACCCTTTGCTTTTAGTCYGGACTGCCACATTGAAAACACTCTGCAGTTCATTGAAACATATTTATCAGAGCAACACGATGTTTTGTTTTTCCTTTCACTCATAGACGTCAGGASAGTG